AGCAAGACTACGCGCTCCTCCATTACAATATTCTTTACTAGGCTACCGTTATTTTCCTTAATCACACACCTTGTTTTGTTTAAATAAACATGATTATTTCACTAACACTTTGTAATTAAACTTAGGTTTATATGACTAGCTTTCACCCGTGATACCATCCGTGTGGAATTAAAAAAATAAATAAATAAGTAGCCTATATGTTCTTGCAGACTATCTTCTACATCCATGCCAAATTTCATCGAGATCCGTTTAGGAGTTGAGTCTACAAACTAACAAACCTCTATCCATCCATCTAAACTTTCGCATTTATAACATTAGTAAATGTGATTAGAAGAAATTACCTTCTGGATATTTTAGAAAAAATACAGAGCCAATATAAAATGATAGGTATAATCGTAATTAATTTTAAACCAGTTATTTGCGTTAGTAATATGACTAGTTTTGTATTGGCCTAATGTAGAGTATGAACTAAAAATTAGTCAGCTAAAATCTGCTCTCCAATGCGAGACGAATCTCTAGGTTTTATTACGTTTATATTTGACCCATTTCCCCTGTGACTAATACGATTACTCATAAATTCAACGTGCTATTTCTTTTGTAATGAATAAACTAGTGTTCCACAACAATCGCACCTGATGCGGGAAACTGTGTCTGGTAACATGAAGTAAAGCTAATAAAGTTAAGCATTCTTTTCTGAGATATAAATGGAATCTACCATTTACTTTTATTGCAAGCTGAACTCACAAAATTCGCCTCTCCTTCTCATGAAGTCTTTTCATAGACTTAAAGCATCAGAAATAAACTCCTTTATTACCCAAATCATTATTGAAAACCTAAGCATATGCTAATATCTTTACAATATGCTTTATATTCAATAAAGAAAATTTATATTTCGTAGAATTTCATTCTAATTTTATAGTAATTATTGGAAATAGTGATACCTTCATTGGACAAAGCACTTAGCGCATAAATTATACTGAATTTCTATTTTTATTCTATCAGACGTTGTTCACGTTTCAGTTTTTCAAGTAGACATTATGTGCTACGTAATTATGTATAGAATTTTTCCGAACCTCGAAAATTACTGTAATTATGTAACTACAGCAATTTTTTATATAATAAACAAAAATAAACCCTTGTATAAGTACTATAGACAAAATAAATATTTTTTAACTAGCTTTCGCCCGCGACTCCGTCCGCGAGGTATTAAAAAAAACAAAACCAAGTAGCCTATGTGTTCTTCCAGACTATTCTCTATCTGTACGCAAAATTTCATTGTGATCCGTCCATCAGTTTAGGGTACAAACTCTAACAAACATCCATCTATCCATCCGTCCATCTAAACTTTCACATTTATAATATTAGTATGATTAGTATGATTAACAGGAGTAAAACTTGATAGATACAAAAATTATATTATATCCTTTGCTATTAATAGAATGTAATTTTTTAAATCATATAAATGAATATGAGATAAATTTCAGTAACACTCAATTTGCAAATTTGAACCCACACCATATTTCACAACCCCAGACATACAACATATTGGCGTTTGAAACATTACAAGTTTTTACCAGCTATTTCCCGTGCATAATAATTTCAATATAACCGCGGTGACTAAACTTAGTTATAAAATATTTAGCATTTCGTTTGCGGTATTTACAAAGCTTCACTATAATCAGTAGTCCTTCAAATAGCTTCATGTTAAAATAATTTATCATCCCAAATTTTTATTACGTAATAGTTTACCTAATAGGTTTTATTATTAGATTTATTTATTGTACAAAACTTGTTTTTAAATTCACTTGAATGGAATGCAAGTGGAAAGACCTCTTTGACAATTTAGAGTTGATTTTAAGTTGTTTTTGAAGTTGAAATAATATCGTATATATTGCAACTTAAGCTGACTTACATAAAAGTGCCATTCTATAATCCAATTAAAGTATATTATTTACTTATGTACTGTTATGTATACGCGTAGGTGCGACCCTCACTTAATTTAATAAGCTACAAGAAAACTAAAATTGTTATTAACGTAGGACATAGCAACTATGTAATAACATAAAGTACATTAATTTAAACAAATGTAATAAAAAAAACTTTGTTTAATAATTTATCATTGTACTCCTAATAAGAAATATCATAATAAATTAATGAATAATGTTTTTTTATCGAAATATTTACCGTGTTGTCTCATAACTTGCTGGTTTAATTCGGAAAGCAAAAAAATAGGAGCTATTAATTTAAGTAGATTTATAACTAAAATAACCCGAAACCGAACACTATAGGCATAATTTAAATATACTTTACGTCCTTATACTTACTTAAATAGAGTTTCAAAAACATTTATACTACAAAACATTGTTTCAAAGAGTTATCAACGCTCAAAGCGAAACTTTCCAAGTTACCTGTGAGAGGTCTGCGTCCTCTTGAAGTTTCTCCGCGATCGTCATTTTTGTCTCTGCAACAACCAGACTCGACGACATCACAAACAATAGCACAATACTTAGTCCACCCATGATTGCTAAACGAACATCCAAAGTTTAAAACACTAAGCACACGCGAAATACATTGAAGTGCTGGCGGGATAGGCGCGCGTAACGACGAAACGCGCGGCAAGTTATGCCGCGGTATGGCGCGGGAGGCACTGACGCGTTGACGCAGATGAATGTTCCCCTCCCGCTCACGCACGCGACCAGCACGACCGTTGAGATGGTCACTAGCCACTCGTATGGTCACCGGTAACATGCTCGATTCAAAAAATAACGAATTGTGCAACACAGGTAGGATCGCGATAACACCGGTCTTTTCGTAAACAAAGGCTGGATTTTGGTAAACAAGCTAGAATGGATTTTTAACTGTATCCAACTAGAGTTAAAGATTAAAATGGCATAAATCGAAAATGGTCGATAAAAACAATAAAAACGAAAACAAAAATGCAAAAAACTTGATCATATTAAGCTCAACGATGGCCTTGGATTGAATTGGCTTTACTACTGTAAGTAGTTGCATGTAACAAGTGACCTTAGAGAACAAGTGAGTCTATAATACCATACTACCTAGTGTACTCATTACTTTCTTCAATTTATTATTAAGTAATACTTCGTTTGTGTACGAATTCACACTCTTTCTCAAAGATCGATTACATCCACATACTTTAATAATGCAGTAAAGAACGTTTAATCATAAACTTATAAGAGAATTTTTATTAAATTTCTCGTATAAACATTGTGATCATCAACACTTACGTGGCGTTAAAAAAAACGATCCCTTACATTATACCTGCCTTGAACAATGCGTGTTTTCTCGTCCCGGCGAAACGTGACGGCGACAGATTATGACCCGTTGCGGTTAAACGTTATTAAATCAACCTTTTTGCGAAGACTTTTAAGTTTTGAGTGTTATTTTTAATATAAACGTACTGTTATTGCTCAAAAGCAAAGGTAACACAAGAATTCTATATTACTCTGAATTGGCTTTATTCTTTATAACTATTTTCATTTGTTAAAAAATTTATACGCACATAAAATGAAAGTAGAAAAAAGTTTAGATGTACTTAACCTCCATTGACATTTCATCGTACCAATTATATCGAGACCTTGAAATATACGACTAAAATATGAAATATACGACTAAAATAGCGATGTAACATTTTGGTGTCCATTAAAAATTCACGAAATTCCCACTAAGCCTGTTAATTGGCAACGCGTGACGATGGAAGTATCATCTAATGAAAATGTAAAGCTAAAACTTGGCAAGTGAACTGTTGCTTATTTAGGTTAACACGAAACTGGGTAATGCATAATAAAGTTGTTAGTGAACGCAGCAGCCCAAGCTCTGGCTTGAGGCCAATATGCGTGCAGCTAACGGTAACTTTTCCACTATAAACTTTTCTCTAAAATCGATGTTAAATCAACCGATGAAATTGAATATTAATGGTTTATTTAAACTGTTTTCTTACCTTTTCATTATAATGGTATTAATTAACCTTAAGTTTAAAGGTGTTAAAACTGTTACATTAACACAATAATTTATTGTGACTTAGATATAGATTGACTTTAAACTTTTTTATTTCGTAAAGTATTTTTGAAGTAAAACATTGTTCTGTTTTTTTATTACTATTTTATTAAATAAATAAACTGCTAAGGGACTTCGTAAACGAGTCTCCCATGTTTTTAATTAACTTGCATAACTTCTCTGAAAATGTTCCAACATTTAGTTTAAAAATGTACTGAAGCTCTTTTTGCGATAGATGGAGTGGAAAAGGTGGATGGATATTGTACTCAGGTTCACTTAATATTTCGTTATTTTCTATCCACGGTGCCCATATGTAATTACGAAGCGAAGGATCTGCGCGAGAATCCCGCTTGGGCTCAATTCTTGGTTTCATTTCTGACCACAACACACGAACGCGTAGAGTCAAATAAAGTACAGAATCTGGCAATTTATTCCACAAATCATGCGATTCTAATGGATCAGCACTTATGTTAAAAAGACATCCTTTTTCTGAAAAAAAAAAGAAACAAAAACATTCAGGTAATACAAAGACATAAAATAGAATACTTTATCGAGACATTTAAGTTTATCGTATTGTCGTACCTTTCGTAGGAATACAAATGTCTCCACCTTGAAGTAAATGCAGTTCTGATAAATTCAATTCCTTCCGTTTAGTCGTAATAGACTCCGGTTCAAGCGACAAACCCAATTTATCTCGCAGCACGTTGCTTACTCTAGAATCCAATAACATATCTTCATACAACGGCTCGTCTTTTTTCAAAGCTTGTAACTCTTTACCATAATACCCACTTGTTTCTTTATCAACTTCTCCTAGTATAATTTTTAAATCACCTTCTCTATAAGCTACCCAGCCGTTAAGATTGTCAACTGCCAGTACTATTTCTTTACGTTTGGATTTCTTGCCATCTTTAAGAGACAACCATTGGTTAACGCCATCTATTGGTTTCTTGATGGTGCCACCAGCTGCGTGTACTAACGTTGGAAGCCAATCGGTTACGTGAAATAATTCATTCATAATTTTAGCAGGTAATGAAGGACTCCATACGAGTGCAGGGGAACGTATAGCGCCTTCCCAAGGTGTGCCTTTAACGCCTCGCAACGGGAAATTAGAACCGAAATTTTGCAAAGCTCCAGTAGTTAAGGCACCATTATCCGAAACGATAACGATAATTGTATTCTGCAGCATTTCGTTTTCAGATAAAGCTGCAACAATGCTGCCAACGCTTTTGTCTAAACCAGTAACCATACCTGTATGAATTTTATCATAGTTAAACATTAATACTTTTTTATTGTATTTTTTTTTAGAACAGTTTGGTCGTTTAAAATAACCGAATCAAGGAATTCTAGTCATTCCAAAATTTTTATTAAGTGTATTAAAATGTTGGGTAATTTTATTAAAATGGCTTTACTGAACATTAAACAGGGGACTCGGGTCTCACTTTTGTCTTTATTGTCTTACCCGCATAAGTTCGCCGAGCGGAATGTGCGATGTGACTATTTGCCGCGATAGTATCCGCAGGCGTTTGAAGATTAACAAAACCTCCGCCAGCGTGTGGGGCAGCGTGTGACAACTGGAGGTACAAAGGTACTGCCCTGTTATGCTTTCTTATTACTGAAAAAAATATACAACCATTTGTCACACGTGTATACTTAAGTTTAAAAAAAAACATCTAATATGTAAATTATTAAAAACTTTGAAATAAGAAATACCATTACGACTTTTGAAAGGTATTTCGTTACTAGAACCATATATACGTATTTTCCATACCACTCACGCAATGGATACTGCAAATAAGTTTTATATAATGTTATAAAAGTAGTAACGTTTTAATTTTCAAAGCTCTATGAAATCTTAATTCTAATTAGACTTACGCACTTTCAACAGCTTTGTCAGTAAATATTTCTGTGACATGACCACTTTGATCTTCCACGGGCTGCGTGTTGTTGTACAAGTTTAAACCAAAGGCAGTAGATCCATTCCATTTCTAAAACAAGAGCAATAATTAAGAGCGCCTTGTAAATTTATGTTGCTTCAAAGGATTACTCATGTTTATTTCAGTAATTATTTAAGGTACTTATAATCTTATACAATTAATTATTATCTAAATTGACGGTTACAATATTTTAAATAAGTAAGTTTGTATCTTTGTAGGAAAAATTAAATAGCAATTGTACAGTTACAACAATGAACTAATTTTTTTTAAGTTTATAATGAGTTTCGCATACCTCTATCAAATCGTACGTAAAGTAATCTACAGATCCATCGAGGAAGCCATAAAACGTGTTAAAGCCTCTGTGAATAGGGAGATAGTGCTCTCTAGATTTACCGACGTTCCATTTACCTATCAAATAGGTTTCGTAGTCTAATTCCCGCAAATAGGATGGTAACAGGCGCTCCGATACTGGTATACCGAGATCTTCCGACGCCGATATTGATGAGCCTTGAACTCCTGGAATTTGGATAAATAATAATACTTAAAACCATCTTACTAATGTTATAATCTCAAAGTTTAAATAAATGAATGGATGTTTGCGTAGCCTAAACTGGTGAACGGATCTCAATTAAATTAGGCATAGATTTAAAGGATAGTCTAGAAGAACACGTAGGCTACAAACTTTTGTTTTCTTAACTCTACACGGACATAGTCGCGGGGGAAAGGCAGTTTATTTAACAAATTTCATCCGACCGATATAAGCAAACGCTTTATTTAAGTTTTGATGAAAATTATCTGTCATTAATCTTATTTTTAAAAAGTAATATTATAGAAAATAGGTTTTAACTTTACCAAGTCTCATGGGATATATTCCAGTAAGTAACGCGCTTCTTGATGGCGTACCGAATGCATCTGTATAGTATTGATTCAATACAATGCCGTCCAACGCAAGTGTGTCAATGTTTGGAGTCCTAATGTCATGAGACCCCAGGAAACTGACGTCACTCCAACCCTGTCAAATATATTTTTTAATACCTAAATGTTAAATTTGTATAAGTATCATTATATCAATTCTACTCTACGGTTATTGAGTCGTTTTTTAAAAATAATAAAACATAAAAAATACTCACCAAGTCATCGAAAAGGATGAAAATTATGTGCGGTTTCGATACTTCTTCACAATTAATTTTACCCAGAAACAAGAAGAGACTGAAAGTGATTAGAAAATGTTAAAATCATCATACAAATACGTATAATTTAATCAACTAAAATAAATTTCACCTTAGTAATTTCATCAAATTTGACATATTTCACGAATTAGTTGCGTGTCTTTGAAATTAATTCAATCAAATGCCTTACGCGAGATAGAATTTCAATATAGTGAGCCGGCACCGCTCAAGTAACCTTTGAAACATCCGAAACTTGTTTAAACAATTGAACACATGCCCGTTAATCAACTTTTGAGACAGTAATTGGTTATTAAGATACCCTTATTGATACAGGTGCAGGGTGACACAAGAACTTAACTACGTACATCATTTTTAAAGTTTCGGTGCTAAAAACAAATTGCAAGAGTCGCCAAAAGATCTTGGGATGGAAGACGTCTACAGGATTTTTTTCTGCTTTTCTCTACCGGTATTTTATCAAAAAATATGAAAACAAAATTGGGCATTTTAAGATTATCTGCCTTATTAAGTTATACAAATAGTTTCTATGAAAAAAAAAAATGTAACGCGATTACAAGATCTCTGTTATGTTTGCGACAAACTTTACTGGAACCTTTTAAATGAAATATATTTTCAGTTCATGTAAATGAGAACCAAAACTAAAACATTGAAAAGGGATTCTCGTCTATTTGAGAAATTACCATATAAATCACTCAGTACAGATTACTATCAGTCTTCTCAGAAATAATTTATCGCTATCTACGAAACATCCCAAATACAGTTCGGCCTTTACGAATAACTAATGAAGTGAAATTTTGATTTCAATCATCAGATAAATTCTTAGATAATTATTTTATTTTGAACGAAACAAATTAATTATTTATTAAATCATACTTAGTACTAATGTTATAAATGCGAAAGTTTGAATGGATGGGTGATTGTTACTACGTATGTATGTATGTCTCGTCTGTTTTTTTTATAATATAAAGTGGCAAACGAGCAAGCGACCACCTGAATCCACCGAAATGGAAAGCGACCGCTGCCCATAAATATCCGCAATTTCAGATGCGTAGTACCCTTAATTGACGGAGGAGGAGACGCACAAAAAGAGGACATTTACTTCCTATGCGTCCCCTCCACCGTAAAATCCACTTTTCCTTCCCATCTTTTCCTCTTAAGAAAAGGGTGAAAAGGAAAAGGGACTAAAATTCGTCTTAACTGTTCTCGGTAAAGGAACTGATGTAGCATATAGACCGGAAGAAAAGATAGGCTACTAAGATTTTTTTAATTCCGGGCAGTTTAATTGCGGGCAAAAGGTAGTTATTTTGAAATTCTATTCATAGACTAGAACACATTTTAATTTCAACGAATTCCAAAAGTTCAACGAAATAAGAAAATAATTGTGGATTTCCGTTCTTTTTGTGCCTATTTTTAGATTTATCCTTGTAGTTAGGCAGAATTGATGTTTAAGGCGGTCGTTATAAATACATTTCCACACCGCAGCGATGTTCCGGACACATTTGTTGAATTTAAATTCCGCAGATCCGTACTGAAACAGCTGCAGCCTGAATATTTTCAAAAATCCTTTTTGCATTTTGCAATTTAAAGCACCACTTTAATTGTACAGTTATGGACTTTATGCGTTGAATACTTATTTTTTTTTTTATTGAATGAGTTATTTTTTTTTATTTCAAGATACGATAACTTGTATCATGAATGTAAAGTTAATTTAACCAGATTAATAATAAGTTGTTTTTTCAATTTTAAGAAAAAAATTAACCAAAACAACTACAACAATTTAGTATAAATATAAACACTTTTAACATTGTCGACATAAATTTGGTTAGTATAACATCTTTCTTGTAAAAGCAAAAGACGTTATAACTAGTAATCAGTCCGACAATAACGTCGTGTGATGTAATCGGAATGTTCTTGAAATAATGCGGAGCTTAATAAACGTCCGGAAGCGAAGGACGTGACACGACTGCACAGTTCAAATCCCATCCGATATTGCCACAAATACTGGTACCTATACTACGCTGTTGCTTCAACTGTCTGTCGACGGTTTTATTCGAAATTGATGTTGTTCTGACACGGGATATGATTCCGTTCGGCCTGTTGTGATAATTAGAAATCGATTTTGAATTACAACCTATTATTTTATTAATGGAACTTTAACATAAACCTTTTATTGAAAAACCTTAATTTGAAACATTCGAAAATTGTACATAGTTTTCTTATAAAAATTTTACTTTGAACTTTAATTTAATAAGTTTTATGAACAAAAATATGTGTAATATTTACACTATATTATTATAATATATTCGTTTACAATTTTAACATAGTAATGAAAATGATGCATAACTTTTTTCAACTTAAAATCCAATCGACAATTTAAAAAGAATACTTGAAAATTTCTATTGGAGTGTGCCAACAGTATCATTTAGTTTCGAAATTAGTTGAAAGTTAAATCTCGTTAATTAAAAATTATTTTGAACTCGGTTGAAATACGAAGCAGAAAAGCTTTCAAAAGAACAGCTTTATACACATTTTCATTTCAAAGTATTATTTAGTGATCTATTTTCTTTGATCAACAATAATACGAGTATACTTGCTCGAAGTCTATGTTATAACTAAATCCAAAAGTGTTTAATAGTCAATTTAACGTCTTATTAAAATAAAATCTTAACTAGCGTTTAATCAAATGCTAAGTAGTGCATCGTAATGAAACAAACAAGTGAACATTACCATTCTGCCAGTCGTGCAAAACGACGGGCATATTATAGTTAATTGCTTAAATTAATCTTTTAAAAAGGCCCTAAGCTAGCGTTATCCCTTGATAGTACGTCTTCCTTTCCCTTAATCGTAAATTTATTAATACAAAATTGCTATTAAGATTGCACCATAACTTGTTTTTTTTTTTATAAACAATAAATGAATTTTAAACAAAAAGCGCATTTCACCAAACGTTGAGAAGTTGTGGATGTCCGAGACAAATCGCGATACTTATTTGTATTCCATCGGCTTCAGTGTTAGAAAATAAGATCTTGAAAAGATTTATGTGAAAAACAACACGAGCAAACTTCCCGGAGAGAATACAAAATTATTACATACATAATACGACGTTTATGCACAGTTTATCATTGTTATCGTTATTGAAAACAAATAGACCTATCCGTCTTCATTTTAGTGAGAATTTAATTCAATAAATTAAGACTTTTGCAAACTAATATGTTTAACATTATCTTATTTTTCACAAGCTATATTAAATAAATCGTAATGTTATAAAAAATACTCTTTGTGTGTTTTCATTAAAAATGTTTACTAACATAATTTTTTTTTTCCTTCTAATTTCGGTCATACTCAAATTCCCTCGTTAAGAATAAACTGGGGAAATGTTTTAGACACGACGAAGCCGGAGCAGAATTTCAAGAACTCATTTAAAAGAATGTTTAATTCATCCATATTTTGTATGGCAGCCACATTTTCTGAGAACTTACGTCATTTTCATGTTTGGGAACAAATTAGGGCGTTCTAAATGTTTGTGATTTTAAGTGCTGATGACATTTGTCATTATTATAACCTCAAAATGTTTAGGGAATCAAACAGCGTTGTAATGCGAAATATAAAATATCTTTCTTCTGCTTCATTTCTAAATTATTTGTCATTGACAGGATGACGAATTGCTACAAGAAAGTAGACAAGACGAGCTCTTTTTCTAAATGCCTTACTAGTTCTTTATTGTAACTATTTATCAGAACAAGCATAACAAGGCCACGCGAAGTCTTACAAAGATATTTAAATCTGCTTACAGATACAAGTATTTTCAACGAAAGAGATAATTTGCAATAAACAAAATAGTTAATATAAAAAAAAAATAAGTTGAAATATATTGGAATGAGGTTCTGTTCCAAAAAAAAAATCTCCTGGTTCTAAGTAGATTTTTACGACGTATAAATTACTTAAAAGATATGATAGTTTTCACCAAAAAATGTAATAAACACATAGATTAACTTAAATTAATTTAAATAAATTCATTGCTAGAAAAGAGATGAGAATTTTATTATTCACGGCACTAAAGTAAATTAATTTACCCCGACCGAGTGTAACACTTAACGGCGGCTCGTAAAGTGAAATGTGCCAAACACAGCGGCCTTGTTATTAGTTGCAGACAGGGCAATTTGTAAAAATATACATCTCATTACTATACTAAAAAAACACAATTAATAACATGATTGTTTGTATAATACATTGTTCATTTTGTTACATCCATAAAGCAATTTCTGTTATTAATTTGCTTTCTAAAATAAGAAAACCAAATGCGAAATAACGTAAAAATAAAGATTGTATAACTGATACCCGCAATGACGTCATAAAAAAGACTGGCCGGAAATATAAAGTAGCATTTAAACGCTTTTATATCAATTTAAAAACTAAACTATTGCATCCTAATAGTCGTAGTTGTATTTGTAAAAATGCTAAAATATCCAACGGCGCGGCGTCGAAACGTCGTTTAGACTTTAAGCAAATTGGGTTGGAGAAGTCTGCGAGCTAGTCGAGTTTCAAACAGCTTTGTAAGCCTCTAGTAAACTAGGAATATGTAAATTACGCTACTTGCAGCCACTCTCATATCATGAATTAGGTAAATATATTTTCTTGTTGTTCCTTCATGTATGTTTGTAGTTGTTATACACATTACCATCGCTGATTCTTAGACATCTAGCAATGAGATTATTTCTGATAACATATGAGGTAAAGAATAAAAAAAAGTTCCGATATAAGAGTGAATGAAAAGTTCACTCTTCCTGACTTCAATACTTTAAACGCTCCCTATTTAAAAAGTGGAAAGCTTTGGTTAATCCGTGGTGTCGGTGCTAATTCCCTGAGCAACATTTTAACTACGATCTAAATTTTACCATGACTAGTGTGTCTCTAGAAAGAAATAAATAAATTATTTGGTTTCGTATTTCACATCGAAATGTTATTGATTTTATCGAGAAAAAAAGGCGATAAAATTACAGGCTTCTACAAAATTTCTACAACTTCACTATAAGCTTTTGAACATAAAAGGATTTCCGAGCATTACGTTTTTTCCTCCTTCCGTTTCCGCGATTTAGACAGAAATGGTGTTTCTGCCTCGTTACTGTGACACATTTTATTGATTTGTAGACGATTGTCCAACTTACTTTCGATAAAGTTTGATATGAGAAGTACTAAGTACGTATTCTTTCACACTTTTAATATCCAAATCGAATAAAATAAATTAAAAAAACCTGATAATAAAAAATCACACAATAAAACGGAACTGTTTCGTAATTGAGTAAAACGGAACAAGATATTGCGAATACAAAATAACCACTGATACAACATTACGTTGAATGAAAAAGAAACAATCTTTACAGTCAGGTACATAAAAAGTCAGTAGACGTTCAGTTATTTAACGTCCGGTAATCGTTTGTGTCCGCTTTTGATAAAAAGTATCAATTGATTTGTATTGTGTTTACAAAGTGAGATAATCGCAACTCTCTCGTAAATACACAACAGGTCCCACTTATAAGATAACACAAAATGGAGTGTTTGATTCCATAATTTTCCTATTACAAAAACAAAGATCTATTTATCCTTTTTTCAATTACAATTTTAATAGAACAGATTCTCATTTATCGTATGCGTTCAATGTTGATGCTTGAAAATCATATATTGTTACAGTTCAATATGTTATGCGATGAGAAGTTAACATACTAATGGAACATAAACTACAATGTTATTGAAACTGACGTAGGGGAGTTTAGTTATTAAATTACAGAGTTCCGTTGGATAACGATAGTCGGATCTAATATGTGTTTAATTAATATTGTAATATATTCAAATTGGCAGCAAAAACATCTTTCTATTCAGCCACAGTCACGAGTTGTAAGTGGATTAAAAGGCAACAGTTGTTCTTGATTTAAATGTACAGTGAGAAATTATGGAGGAATGGATGGATATTATGTTACTATATATCTCCAAAATGACTTAACGGATCATGTTGGAATTTAGCACAGATATAGTACATGATCTGAAAGCCATTGGCTACTATTTTTTCTTTAATTCCGCACAAGAGATGTCGTGGACAAAAATCTAATTGTACAAAATCAATAAAATCAAAACTAGATAGAAAAAGAAAACAGTATATACTTACGAATTAATATAACGATAAGTAAAATAAAAAAACTGCAGTCATTTTCTTTTAAATTTAGCTTCGTATTTACTTATAAAATAACTTAAGCTGGTGAAAGTCTGCCTTTTTTCTTATACAAAGTGTCTTAATGTTATTGCGCTCACAAATCCTTTCAGTCCGCGATCCGTCTGATTTAACGCTGAAACGTTACAAGAAATGTTCAAGCTTTTAGACAAGTTTTATACCATTTAAAGATATATAAGATAAATGAGGCCTTGACCATTTTTCTCAGTTTTACAATTATTTTAAGTATAAGCATTGAAAAAAATGTATTTGCACCTCAAGAGTCCAAAGTTCCTTATTTTCTTCATTTTTTTACTAATTTAAAAGGAACGATTAGTAGAAGTAAGCAGACACTTAACTCTAACTTGAATGTAGGAATAAATCGGTTTTAGTTCTTCACATGATTATCGTGGAAGTTATTTTAATGGATTACTATTTACTGTCAAATACACTTTAAGTTTCTCACAAATAACTGGATACTTAGCATTAGCTACCCCTCAAGTTAACTATAATTAACGTCAAAATCTTTCTCTCAATAATAATATAGTTTTTATTACGTTTCGTAACAAGTTACATAAATCTGTCCATCAACGTCTCCTAATGATATGCAAAGTGATACAAATTATTCGTGTGTTTTCACTAACAAAAGAATTATAAAATACATATCGTCCCTGTCTTTCTTATTGAAAATAATAGAGATAACGATGTTTCAGTGTAGTTGCTTTAACTGTGTAACGCTAAATGAGTTTTCAACTATTACAGAAAAGATTTTATAAAGCCCTTTACACACCTTCGGTATAAACCTAACAGTCGAACTGTACAATTTAATCAAGTCTGTAGGAAAAAAAATTACTGTACGGTTTAGTGACATTTAAAATTTTACCTTCACACGTAAATTTTTAACTGTTTTACCTATACAGTTCTGTTACGTGTTCTGTGTCTGATAATTTAAAACTGAAGGTGTGTAGCAAGCTTAAATTGCAAATCACTGAGCTTGTCATTTATATGTCAAACACAGAAAGTTTTTCTCAGAGACTTGATAGCACTGCTTCTAATGTCTGACATTATTTCTTGTCCGATTTCCACAGTTTTCCTACGTTCATCGTTATTGTTAACTGAAAAATATTTTTTTGTTAAATTTTAATAATGTTAATATTTGAAAACCAATTTAAAACAACAACCTTAGCTTTACGATTTAATGGCGCCCATCCTAATTTACCGCACGATAAAAATTGGATTGCAAAATTTTTTTTCACAGTTCTTTTCACTAGTGTGTTTTTTCTTTTTCTAGTCAATTCAATTATTTTTCATGATATCCGCAATGAAAAATATACGGACGCTGTTAAAAACGGCTGCCTAGCTACTGTTTTCTTGACTCTTTGCTTTAAAAACTACGTCCTGCTTCGACACGCAAACTCTTTGAAAAAATGCATTGAAATCATCGACAAAGACTACGCCGAAGTTGAGCAATACACACAAGAAGAGAAGAAAATAATTCAACTTTATTCAAAAAAGGGGTCTAATGTCTGTTGGTACTGGTTTCTTGCAATATGTTCCACCGGTGCTATGTTTCCTATAAAAGCCTTGTTATTTATGATCTCTTCACTTATTCAAGGTGATTTTAAATTAGTTCCAATGTTCGATATGACTTACCCTGCTCCGATCGAAACACACAAAGAAATTATCTATGTTTATTTTATTTTATTTTTATATTGTTTCATTTTCGATATGTACGCTATGTCTGTGTACGTCGGATTCGATCCCTTGCCTTCTATATTTTTGTTGCATGTTTGTGGTCAAATTGAAATATTGAGTATGCGGATGAAGAATGTAATGGCCAACGTTAAAGACCACAAAGAGATCTGTGAAAAGTTAAAAAAGATTAACCAAAAGCTACAAGCAATTTACGTGTGAGTATACTTTTTATTGTTTATTAAATATAAAACAATATAGTTGAGAAAAATGACACAATTGTCGGAAGATTCGATAAGGAAGGAATTTATCAATTTCCAGATCGAAGTACCTTATCCTTATTTGTATATGTAAAGTATTAACGTAAGTAGTAACAAACATTTTAATGTAATTTCTTTCTAGGTTTCACAATTCTGTTCAATCAAACTTTTTGGAATTACTCGAATTCAATATGAAAACTACAATACTATTACTACCATTTTCTGCTTTTCAGATAGTCCAAGTAAGTACACAATTTAATTTACTATTTCTCTTTCTCCTTCATGTCTGAAAAGTAAATAGTGTATTATTATATTTTATTTTTATTTTTAATTTCAAGTATTTTATTTTTTAATAGCCAGACACAAAAATATCATAGCCATTGTTAAGCCAAAATTCTTCGTTTTTTTCAGTCATTGAAGCATTTGGAACTTAATATAGAATTTATTTGTTTCTTTGGGTCATACGTAATTCACTTTCTGATCCCCTGCTATTACAGCAATCTATTGATGGAAAAGGTATATAAATGGATCGATATTAAATGTAAAAAACAATTAAGAAATATATTTAATAATAATTATTATCTTTGATTTAGAGTAACGAATTGAGAGAAGCAATTTACTCGTGCGGTTGGGAGAACCAACCGAATATTCAAATAAGGAAGACCGTATTGTTTATGTTGGCAAGATGCGGCATACCGCTCAGCATGAGAACTATATTCCACCCAGTTAACCTCGCAACATTTGCTGAGGTATCATTTAATATCAAAAATCTTTTCTTAACGAGAAACAATTGTTAAATTTATAAGCATAATAACTTTTTTATAGGTGTGTCGTCAAGCTTATACAATATTTAATATTATGAATGCCGCGTGGTCTTAATTTACCTTTCATCATCGGCTCCCTATACTCCTCCACTAAAGGTGTCGGAGCCTTAGTTAAGGGTGCCTTGGCCTTAGTCATTGTAGTACATCAGTTGTAGTGTAATCTAACATTCCACTTATGAATTTAATATCAGTCGAATTCTTACTCTTTAATCAACACTGATTTTTCACATTAAAGTACATTAATCTTTACTTAAAGTGTTTTACTTCGTTTAAGGTCCCTAAAAACCTGAAGTTACAGACTGAAAATCTAAAACAAAGTAAGGGTGCTTCAATCTCTCTAATAAAATACTTCCTACCTCCTACTCCCTCTTTCCTAAATACATTTTTTCGAAATATGACTAGAGATTTATATATTTCTGGTCAAGGTATACTTTAAATTGTTTCTAATTCAAACTTATATGCGCTGTAAAATGTAAATGTCATCTGAAACAGGTGGCTGAAGCGAAATTAGAAATTCTAGGCAGCTTAGAGATTGCCCAATCAACTTGCATACAAATGAATGAAAGCCAAAGGAAAACGAACTAGTCTTTGCGAATAATTAATGTCTGCCGTTTTAATACAAATGCTTTGAAAGATTGCAAATATTACGATTTTATTCAAAATTTATTTAACCAAATGTGCAAATTTTATATTCAACGTTATAACATTAAAATAAACATACCGTTAGTGATAAAAACTAAGGATTAAATCAAGTGTTAAGTTAGACAAAGTCAGATTATTTTTATGTTAATCTCATTATTTAAAGTTATGATTAAGTAAGTATAATATCAATATTTTTGTTAACTTTCCCTCTCCAACGAGCGAAGGTTGGCAGTCAGTTTTGGAAAATTTGATAAATTTTGTTATTTTTAATGATTAATTGATTGAACTGAATAAATACTAATAATTAAATGTGGTTAACTTTTTATGTATACGAAAAGAGTTATATTTAGGTCAACAAAAGTGTTGGAATAAATATCCTTAACGTGACAAACGGTCTCTTCAATACAATACTTTGGATTCCATTTTAACGTCGATGTAACAAACGATATCCGTCCAGAGACGTCCAATAAAGTATTGAACTTTGAACTTTTCAATAAATATTTCGAATTCAAGATAAATTGGCTGATACTCGTTCAGTTGTCGCTGCTGAAAGCTGAACAATACAAGTTAGATAATTCTTAAACACTAAAGTTTTCTCAAACAGTTTTGAAAATTACCTTTTAGCATTAGTTATTTATAAAAAAAAGTTACCGAGTTTTTTTTGTTGATACACCTTAAACTTTGATAGTATATAAAGCATAATGGTGAAGTTGAAAAAAAACTTTACCTTCTTGCAGACCATATCACAACATATAATTACTTCGTTATGTATCTCCCTTTGCGGATTGAGTCAGTATCGAGTTTCTTACATTTCTAGTTTTTTTTTAATAATTGGGTTTATTGCGATAACATATTTTGCAATTTTATTTCGCAGTTAAGTAGATAGATTGTAAATACCTCACTGTAATTGAAATGAAACGGCAAATTTTTGTCGAAGTTAACAGCTAACTTTTGATTTGGGTTCAAGTTACAACAAAAGTTTGGAAATTCCCCCTAACTTAACTATCGACTTTCCAACATAAAACGATTTCCGATCATTACGTCGTTCTTCTGAACTAGAGATTCGGGAACGAGCATTTCTCTTAGGGCAATAAATGTTTTTTTTTTACATTTTGTGTAAAATTTGTTAATTGAAATGTAAACTGAGTACAGACAATTACTATTTTTTTAATAACATAAGGTGGCAAACTAGCAACCGGCCACCTGAATCCGCCAAAATGGCGAAGCGACCGCTGCCCAAAGATATCCGCAATTGCAGATGCGTTGCCTACCCTTATCTGACGAAGGAGGAGACGCACATAAAGAGGATATTTCCCCTTCCTATACATCTCCTCCACCGTCAAATCCACTTCCCCTTCTCATCCTCTCCTTATAAGAAAAGGTTGGTTAAAAGAAAAGGACTTAAATCAGGTCATTCTAGAAGTTACCAAAAATGTAAAGTATAACTTCATAAAAAATCTTTCATTTATGTAATCTAAAACATTACCAAAACATGTCACTTTTTAACAAGAGTACCTCTATAACATACATTTCTATATCAATCAAATTACATCAAATTTATCAGCATTAATCGTCTCGTTATACGATTTAAAAATACCTTTTTTTCTGACAAAAGCTTTTCTGGATATAGACAATGTAATCCCAGCGGATGACATTAAATCACCCGCGATTACCGCCGCCATTTTATACCCATGTAATTCAGTATCATCACATCTTTAAAAAAATAGAAAAACTCACATAACATATTTTTCGTTCACAGTTTAGATATAATATGACAAAATGGATTAACCATTATTAAATGTTGCTATTATTAAATTTCAATTAAACTGCACTGTATATTTTCAAATAGTGAAAACATTAATTCTAACAGAAAATGTGTAAAACGAACATACGCGAACTGCTTTCGCTAGTTTATTACATTCGAAACTTAGACAACGTAACATGGAAATCTGAAAACTAAAGGAAAAGAGAATTTCCTATGCTGTATTACATTTTAACACCTATTATAGCTGTTTTAAGATAATTCGAGACGAATAACGACAAACTTCGTGAGAATAATTTAACATAGTTTGTAAATGGCTTTAAACTGTTCTTAGAGAAGTTTAAAACTTAAGGACTTGCCGATCCTCCTATGCAATTTGCTAAGTTCACGGTGACACATTCCGGAGACAATGTAGAGGAACTAAAGCATCAAAGTATTATGGAAGTTATAATAGAAATACTTTTATGTAAGAGACTAATCTTGCAAACTTATTAAATAAAATACGCGAATAATTTTTGTGGTTTGTGGTTTAAGATATTTTTTTTAGTTTTTTTTTATTCATCAATCATCCTAGAGGTAGCAAACTATATTGTAGGCTGTTTTTAAATTTGAAAATGTAATATAATTTCCCTGAAAACATTTCACTTTATATTTCTGCATTTGTAAAATTCTCAAATACGATTCTTTATATAATATTAACATTAACAAATTCTGCTTGTGGGCGACAGATAAGAAAAGTAAACATGTGGTTACGAAACAAAAATCTGCTTAAATGTGTTTATATTTCGCGGGCCCTCGTAAAGAACAACAGATAAGAACTCTACAGAAGCCAGAGTTATTTTTGACATTTTCATACTTTTATTTATAACCGACCATTTGAGAATGTTATGATATAACTAGATATATCCCGCTACTTCATTCGTGTAGAGTATTTCAACTTTTATAAGTTGAAATTCAACTTTCCCCTGCCCATGTAAACCTTTAGAGGTTAAACTTGAAGAAAGCCTAAAACATTTAATAGGCTATCTGGCGCACTCGTTTAATAGCCCTAAGTGAAAGTTACTCATACTAAGAGAGTCTAGAAACGATTGTAGGAAAGATTCTGGATTAGTAAAATTTGTATTTCTAAAATAAAAAGCATTCACAAATTCAGTACCAGTAACCCAACAATGAGTTCTAATTATTTACACATTATTATGCCAGCAGTAGACTCTCAAAATTCATTAGCAGTAACTCAATTACAGTGTTTGCGAGTCCCTAACCTTGCTCGGTTAGCTCAATCCTATTATGTTTCTTTAATGTTGCATTTTGTCGTGGAGTATTTCAGTTTTAACAGCTTTAATTTCAGAGCTTTACCAATTTAATTACAGTACCATAATTTCGCCTTTATTTTAAATATTTGAATTCACCGCCCCATTTAGTTGTTAAAAGAATACTAATCGTTAAAAAAATACTACTTCCTAGCAATGAAAATAGCCGCTTGCATGATATCCTTTTTACATTAGAAAGATGAAAGTAAATCAAACGACAAACTCAGTCAGTTTTACAGAGTTCCTCGATAGGGGTGTCTCGGATTTTTCTATATTCAGTTGCCGAATATTACTATAATCTAAGGATATTTCTATGATGAAAGTCAACTGGGAGTATTATCACTGGCCACTACAAAGTACTGGAAACTATATTTACATAAAAATATTTTTATTTGTAAACGCGGTCACGTTTTATTTTATCCTAACACGTACTCTTTATCGCTATCCTTTTCGAATCATCACAAATATTCCACTGGCCCAATCTTATGTAATCTATCTGATTTATGATTTTTGCTTGTACAAGAACATTTTACAACAAACTGGAGTTTAAAGGTTGGGACAAAACGGTTGTCGTACTTATTGATTAAAGTTTGTTTTTATATTCTTAATAACTGTAGATTCTATTGAATTACTAATAAATTGAACCAGTTTTAATATTTAAGTAAGCTCAATAAGGTTCTATTTTGATTTCAGTCACGCTTCTCGTTTTCTAGAACTCATTAAGTCTCTATTATATTAAAAACTTTCCTTATCTTCCACGTATTCTCTGGGAAATTTAATTGTAGTCGCAAAAACGCTTTAAGAATATCAAATAATGATTAATTAGATTTATCGTTTTACAAATCACTTTTGTTAGTTAATCAAACGGAATTCTGTCTGGTTTCATTCTTAATTATGATTATAATTTTAAACTTAAAACAAAATATAATTATCCGATATTTTTAATATCCATTTAGACGAAAGAATACCTTACAATCAATTCTATCGCATTCTTGATTCTTAAGTTATGTCCCTATTTGTAAACATAATTTAACTATACCCATTTTCTACCTAGCAAACTAAAGTGAAAGCTAAGTATTTGGAAAATAACTATATTTAAGAAGGCAATAAAACTATCTTCTCGTTTTACCAAAGTAATGGAACATAAGAAAGGAAATCTATCCACAAGTTTCTTTCTAACAGATAACAAGGTTCTGTCGACAAGAGTTAAAAGGAAATGAACTGAGCCGGGAAAATCTTCTAATTCCTTTTTCTTGGATATTCTAGTTTACATTTCTTTTACCCGCGTGAGGGCATTTTTTTTTTGGGTATTAAAATATCTTTGTTTGACTTTGTAGATCTTATGGATTTCCTACAGTTGGACAAATATTGAATTGTGAGTGGTCATATGACTTGTATTTGACTGAAACAGAGGTTAAAAACTCACTGGAAATTTACAAATTGCACGTCGGATGTTTTGAACCTCTGCGCAACGTGCAATTTTGATATCATGAAGTTTAATAAAATCACGCCTTGTTGCGTAATTTATCAACAATGTACGTTACTTTTTGCGGTGAACGAAATAAATTGAAAAGGAAACGCAATGTGCAATTTTGAGTAATTTTGTAACAGTTGAAATTCAAATGTACATGTAAAATGTTAACAAAGGTTGTGACATTGACAAGTCATTAACTCTTGCAATTTTTTTAGTCTGGGTTAACAAATTTCAGACACTAAAAAACACCAATTTCAGATTAATTTCAATAGTTTTTTTTTAATTTTTCGAGTTATAGCATTGCGGTTTATTACATTTTTTTCTAGTAGGAGCATTTTGTAGTCGGCAAGTTACAAGACAAAGTTTTAATTAATTTGCCAAGCATGTCGAAGATTGCTAGTTAAATAGTAAACTTTGTCAAAGAACATGAACAAGTTAACACACTAAACTTAATTATTTTGCTAAAGTTAATCAACTTCTAATTTAACTTTGACATTCTTTTATGTTTAAACCACGAAGCGATATTTGTTTATTTAATCAATTGGCTATATTAAATTTAAAGAATAAACTTTAGATAACAATTTTATTCCTATACCGTTCCTTTAAAGAATTTTACAACGTATTCCTTTAAAGCGAAATTACTCAGAAGAGCCAGATGTTCCTCTGCTTATGCAAATTACTTTTATAGTCAAAGTTTATCCTTTTTTATACTTTTTATACTTTTATAGTTAAAGAGTTCCTAAATTCTTATTTCACTCTCGTATCCAGTTCTAAAGCTATCGGTCATTGGATTTTAATATTATTAAAATAAAATTTATAATAGCAAAATGATATTTAATATCACATCATTTTATTGTTTACTGTCGTAACCGTAACTTCTACCTCCATAGATTGTAGATTTTTAGTAATAAATAAAGCTGTGTAATATTTGGTCAAGAAAAACAATTATTTCTGACTAGCTGTTCCCGTGGGACTTCATCCGCATGAAATTATGAAAATTTTAGTTTGTTGTTTACATTTGTCAAATTATCAATTACAAATGTCAAACTGACATGACATGACAAAACTTGACAATCTTGCTTCCTTGATGTTGGCAGCAAGTTATGGTCTCTTTCCCACAAATATTTACCCCCTAAGTTGAATGGCGTGAAAATGTATAGACTAAAGCGTGACGTAAGCGTAGGGCTTTTTGTTGAAAAAGGACTATTCAAAAAAATGCTGTAATTGCTAAAATCTTAGGCAACAAAGAAGTTTATGCTTTATTATAATAGTGTAGATAGATTTAAACGAAAATGCTTTAAATATTTAAGTAATCGCGAACAAAAGTATTCTGCACAATACTTTTTGGTCCAAAAGTTCTAGCTAAATAGAAAATGGTTTGCAATAACAGGGATAAATTGGGAAATGTAAAAAACATTCCTGTTAAAATTTTAGCAACGGCTGTTACACTGCGGGTATTTGGAATTGAAATCCAAAAAAAAACGTGTTTCACTACCATAGGTTCGATTTATATTATTTGTAGCGATAATTTCTATCGAAACATAGCACTTTTTATCAACTCACTTCGTTATATTTAATGGGAAATAAAAGTTCGATACTAAATAACTGTAAATGGGAATCGTACTTTTATAAATCAAAGGCGCCGGCATATCTTGCATATTTTTTTACATTCATATCAAATGTGTTATTTCCTCGTTTCTTGCCAAATGGCTTGTAGTGTTACGTTGTGAACCATTACGCGTTAATTAAAATGAAGGAAAAGAAAACATACACGTACTTTTAAATTTTAATACTGAAACAACTACCCCCTTTTCACTAGATCTTACCATTTTTCAAATTAGAAATTCGTGATTTGAGACACTTCTTTCTTAACCAAGTTATCACAAAATTTCAGGACTGATATAATTTATTCGGGGAATGTGACAATATTTTGGAAATTAAAAAGTTAAATTGTTAATTTCGAGCTAAAATTAAATTAAAGTGTTAATTAAATATGACGCTACGTCAACCGAATGAACAACTGTCGCCAAATTTCCCCTTTGTCACGCCATGATCAAAGAACGGCCGAATGAACACAAAACGCCTCATTAGGTACTGAAGCTCGGTATTCCCTTTTATATTTCACGTAATTTTAAACAATTAACAGGCATGTTTAGAGAAGCTGTATAAATACAATAACATAGGTGCACGGCGGTAGTTCAATGTGACTAATTACGTACTAAAAAAACAGTTATTTCATTCATAACTAGCTGTTCCGGTGCGGCTTCATCCGCATGAAATTATAAAAAAATTATTTTATTGATTACATTTGTCAAATTATCAATACCAAATGTCAAAATGACATGACATGATAGACCTTGGCAATCTTGCTTCCTTGATGTTGGCAGCAACTTATGGTCTCTTTCCCACATTAGGTTTTTTATCCAAAATATTTACCCCCTAAGTTTAATGGCGTGAAATAGCCTAAAGCGTGACGTAAGTGTAGGGCTTTTTATTAAAAAAAGAATTATTCAAGAATATGCTGTAATTGCTGACATCTTAGGCAACAAAGAAGTGTGTGTTTACACTTCATTATAATAGTATAGATATAGATATAGATTAGTAGTAGTATTCGACGGATTGTCAATTTATTGTATTCAATTTTTTTTCCGTGCAAAGCAAATAGTATTTAACAACTTAAGTACAGTATTTTATTTATATAGTAGGACAAAAGTGCATATTATTAAAAATAAATTTATTAATTCCACGCAGCATTCATTAAGTTAAATAACGCGTAAGATTGGTGAAAAACCTGAAAATTAAAAGCAAAAATATAATTTTCATTACTATTAAAACATCAAGGTAAAGTTGTAATGTAACTGCGTTCTAGTTCCCAAAAATTCATACAACAATCTATGGAAAATCATGTTCAACTTACATCAGTAAGTGCGTCAAGACATAAAGGTCGGAACATAGAGCGAACTGCGACAGGTCTCTCTGTGCGGACTAGTGCCACAAGAATTATTGAACGCACTCGTTTGTCCCAGTACATTTCCCATTTAGATGAGTAGATAGCTAAGCGCACACTTTCACCCTGTAACAACCGCAATTACAGATACGATCAAAGTAATTTCATTGCCTACATCTTATGTTTTGTAAAATCTATACCAATGTTATAAAGAGGTGAGATTTGTATTTCTGTATGTATTGAAATAACTCAAAAAAATCTAGGTTGATTTTATAAATCTTTTCCCATCAAGAAGCTACATGCCACTGCATAATATAGGCTATATATTTTTCAATTCCATGTAGATGAAGTCGCGAGCAACAGCTAGTCGTAATAAAAAAAAGTAGTAAGGGTCTCAAAAGTCTCAATTTGAATCGTATGCCTGTGATTATTTAACACGGAACAAAATTTAATTTAAATGATTTTTTAAGAGAAAATTCTTTACGACAACGGAATAAAAATGAAAAAAACAAATTTGACTTTATAAGTTATGTTAGAGCGACTCTACAAAATAGAATAGATGGATAAAGATGAGCCTTAATTAGTAAAAATAACTTTTTTTTTTTACTAATTAAGGCTCGCGGAATTGCTTCCACTTCACGCATGTCTTCTGTGTGGTCTTGGTATTTCACAGGGCGAGCCGGCCCATTCGTGCGAAGATGTTAAAGCGAGTTCTACCACTGTTAAAAGTGACTTACCGTCTCCATTAATAAGTCGCTGTAGTAGCAAGGAATGCCATTTATTGATATAGTCCCGATAATTATTGTAATAAACTCCAAACTAACTTCACCATTTTTAAAAGACTGTAACAGTAAAAGTTATGTAATAATTTGAAAATAAAATTCACGTATATCAAGTAAAACAATGCTTTAAAATAACCTAAATCCGTACCTGTATTACAAAAAAAAATGTAATAGGAAGTATTAGTATTGTAGCCTTCAACGTCATTTCGTACAATAATTTAAAGCTGGTCTTTAAATCCTCTACAAAACTATAAGCAATAATACAAGAATTTATAAAATAACAATATAACAGGAAAACAAATGGATGTGATATTTTAAACAGACCTGTATATGTTCTGCAAATGTACTATAATATCTTTAAATTGATTCAAAACCTTCTCGTTATCAAATAAATTATTAGGATAGATAGTTAACACTCTTTTCTTAACAAGTTCCAGCTGACCACACACATGTAGCATAAATATAGGTCCCAGCGGTACAAACGCTATATACATAAACATTGCGTAGAAATCATAAAAAAAGAAAGCTAAGTATAGAAAGGCGAATGTGCCAGGTTCATTTTTATGTTCTTCTAATCCTGCAGGATACGTCAAATCGTAAAGAAGTACGAATTTAAAATCCCCAATAATCTTGTAATAAATCATTAAAACAATAGCTTTCACTGGAAACAGACTTGCTGTACAGATAGATATTATAAGCCAGAATTTCATAACCCCTTTGCCTTTTAAAGCAAAGTGTAATACAATTTCTCGCTCCTCTAATGGCAACTCTGTAGATAATTTGTAGTCATTTTTCATTATCTGTATCATATTTTTAAATAATTTTTGATAATATAACATAACGCAATATTTAAACGTGACAACAATGAACACAATGCATATGGCGCCATTCGAACATGCCTGAGTGAAGTCTTTGTTCTTTATATCACAAAAGATAATGCTGTAAACCAAAGCACAGAACATTATAAAAAATATTCCGTGCACACAAATAAATTGCAGAGCCCATTTCCTATCTCGCGCTATGTCCGGGTGGCATCTATTCACTCGCATAGCAAATATCATTATATTAAACATTTTATTAAAATCAATTTCCATTATGTTTAGAAAAACGTCTTTCAAAGTTAAAAAGAGTAAGGTAAGTGCCAGAAAACGTTAAGTATTTCGAAAAGCTTACTTTTAAGGCGAAGTTAACATACAATGTTCTTTTTACTCGTATGTGAGGTGTATAATAAAGGCTGATGATATATTTAAAAAAAAAGAGAAATATATGTACGTTCAAAAAAAAACTAACATACGCAGATCTCACGATAACTTTAAAACAATCATTAAAATAAATATAAAGATGTTATAATACTTTTTAAAACACAATTGTGATAGAAAAAAAAATGTTTTTGTGAAAAAAATAACTAACGGCGTCTTAAATGAGGTTCCTTAACAAGTCTTTAATTATTTATTTTATTATTTAGACACAGTCGCAGTCTTTACCTTAAAATTAACGTAAAAACATTTAATTTGAAATAATTTAAAATACAAGCTAGTCATGTCTAACGGTTCATAATTTTTTTAAGTATGTTGACGACTCGCTGAAATATTAATGTTCTCAACTTAACAACTTTGTGTTTGGTAAGAAAGGAAAATTTAACTTAATTGGATTTAACCTCCTCTTTAGGAATAATGCATTTCTAAAGCTATAAACATTTGTACTGCATGCAAAACATTGTGAATAATATTATTTTAAAACTAGTATTTAGTTCTAATATGATCACACTTATTAACTATACGAATTAATTGCGTATTTAACGAATAAAGTCTTAACTTTTAACTATATTGGGGTTGATGTCGTCAGCCCAAACATCCCAAGTGTAATTATGTAGTCGCGGTGAAGATCTTGGGTCCCTTTTCACTTGTTGCCTAGGTATGCTCCTAGTTATTTCCTTTTGTAGACGATTCAACATGCTGCGAATAAATCTGTAGTTGTTCTTGCTCAGGTTTTTGGTTTCACACGGGTCCTCTATGACATTGTACAAGCACCACAGAGCTAAAAAAAAGTAGATTAGAAAATTAAGCTTATTCAACTTCGAGAACTCTTAGATTTCTGATGAAGGAATAATAAGTTATCTTAACTTTGTAAAACAAAAACTATGTTATAATTTCGTTTGTTAATAACTTACTGTTTTGTGGAAAGCAAATGTGAGACTTTTCCTTGACCTCTTTGCTGCAAGTTAATCTCAATTTGTCTCGCAGCTTAGCTTTTTCAAAATCAAATTGTTTACCCATACTGCAGAGCACATCATACATGACACTACTTTGTAGAGTTTCATTATAATCAGGTCCATTTCCTATAATAGATTTAAGTTCTTCACCACCTTGATAATCCCCGAATTCAGTTGGTATATGTCCTGTCACCAGTTTGTACTCGTTATAAATAATTGTAAAATACCCCCCAATATCATCAAACTCGTACAATTCAGTCCTTTTAGAGGGTTTATTTTTAACAATGTTATCCCACAAATCGAAGCCATCAATTCCTAATGGCGGATCTGCACCTACAGCTTTCATCAAAGTCGGTAACCAGTCAGACACATGAAAATATCCTTTCCAAGAATGACTATCTTCAGTCAAATTCTGAGACCATATTAATCCGTTAACTCTAATACCACCCTCAAATGGAGTCATTTTAAGACCTCGCAAAGGCCAATTAGATGCATAATTCATTGAATCTCCCGATGTCATACCGCCATTATCGGATACGAACACGATGATAGTGTTATTAAGAATATTCTTTTCTAATAGTGTTTTAACAATTTCACCAACGCTTTCGTCAAGCTTTTTGACCATGCCTGAAAAATGTTTACAGCAACATTAAAAAAGATATCAATTGTTTTATTGTACTTTATGTATTTTTGTGTAAATCTTTGAGCTCTGTTCGAGATACGTAGTCACCTGCGTAAATTCTTCTTTGTGGTGACTCAATGTGCCGCATGGCTCTAACTGCTTCAGGAGGTGCTTGCAGTACAGCCGCCTCGTTAGCAGAATGTGGTGCGTTGTGTGCTACTACTAGAAATAACGGCTGAGAATCATCGTGTGCCATAATTACTGAAATGGAAAACAATTTTGGTATCAAATTACAGCCTTATCATTAAGGGACCCAGGCTACCGAACTTCAACCAATTTAGAAGAATAATCGGAAACGAACTGAAAATGTATACTTTCTTATTTAAAAATACTTAGGGCCTTACTTGATTTTGCCTCCTTGGTGTAAAGATCGGTAATATAACCCTCATCATTCCAGGCAACGCTTAAATTTCTAAATAGTCCGAATCCAGTCACTTCCTCAACTCCATTCTGTAACAAGATTTTATTATGATAAATCATTTGCTTCTTTCATTCTATAGACATGAAATTGCTACGAGTACACATAAATTACCTCTTCCTGGAGTGTATATTCATAGTAGTCTATAAAACCCCCTCTGTGACCAAAATGTGTATCAAATCCCCGCATCGTTGGCAGGAACTCGGTACGGGATTGGCCGACGTGCCATTTGCCGACCAAGTGCGTGGCGTAACCGAGCTCTTTGAAATACTGCGGCATAATTTTCTCAGTTACTGGCAAACCTCTATCTTCACTGTTTGTTAAAGGATATCCTTGCATGCCTAGAATATGATACATTGATGAACATGAAAAGCAAAGAGGTTCATTGTAAACACATTCTTGAGTTTTTCTCATACATGTCTATTCGAGAACCGTTTTTATCCTCATTTCAATTACTAACCTATGACATGAGCATATTTGCCAGTGAGTAGAGCAGAGCGCGAAGGCGTGCATGCAGCATGAGTGTAGTATCTCTCCAAGGCAACGCCTGTGTACGCCAGCAGGTCGATGTTCGGCGTCATGATCTGATTCGAGCCGTGAAAGCTAACATCATCATAACCCTGAAAAAAGGGAGCCTTTATTAAATTTGTAATTGGAATAACAGACCAATAAACCGTAAATAAAGACGATAAAGAAAAAAACGAATATGGCCATTTTGATGTAGCCGTTGCACAATTATGAGGTGAATTTGTCTGTTAAAAAAAACTTACCATATCATCCGCAATAATGAAGATGACATTTGGTCTCTTCCACTGCCCTTCAACTTTCTCTGCGTTTGACATTAATATCATAATTAGGAGTACGAGTAACAAGTTTCTTGAGCACATTCTGAAATTAAAAATACACTAACGACTAATGGTTTGAATGTATAAACGAAGATGTTAAACAGCACTGGCCAAAAACAGACATGTTTTTTATGAAATTCGTATGGAGAACATGTGGCTTTCGTTCTTTATTTGCTTTTTGTTTCTTTTACTATATTCGTACGATAAAATTGCTCCTAAAAGTAATCGTTAAGTATCACATTATTCCAATCGTGAGTTTCCACTATCAAAACATATACATATAATTATCTCATTTATTCCGAAGGTAATGAAAGAGATGACAATATTTTGTAACATTTCTGTAGGCAGCCCATGGCAAGACAATCTAATCTTCAGATCTTCACATTTGTAACACTCACGTGTAAAACAATTGACAGCTAACGATAAAAATATTGTAATATGATAAGATCGGTTCAAATTTACATTAATATAGCAAATATCATAGCGTTAGAAATTAATGTATCATTATCGGTGAATATTACATAGGTTAATGACCTGACCCTTAACAGACATTTTTATGAACGATATGTAAAAGACATTAATTGTATCTATAATTGTAATGGTTATTATGATAAATAATAATAATTATGGTAAACAAAAGATAACAGTATAAAAATGCGTGTAACGATGCATTTCCTCATTATAAGTACAAAGCGTGCTAATTTATCTAGGCAGCATCAGAATTTTGTTATTATTTTTATGTAAGTTCTTTGTATTCTAAACGTTGAAGTATCAATTTTAAAAGTATGGAATTTATCAAGATTATCCACGGTTTTCCTTAGATTATGCGCAACGAGAAATTTGTAGAAATGTTATCGTTTTCTTCAATTAAAGTGTACAATTTATTGTCTATAGTAATATTAAACGTTATTTTCAAATCATTCAATGTTAGATGAGATAATCATTTCACGGCATTGATTTACGTAAACGCGTACAGAGTTAAATCCTTGAGTTTAATCATTTATTGATTGGTATTCTAAATAATATAACTTTGTCTATTTGACCCAAGGAACTTGATATAACGTAAAATATCGTGATTTATATAACATCGCAATTGCTAAAATCATGAAAGCAAAGTTAATAAATTATTTTTACTTCTTTATACTTTTTGTCGTCGTGTTTGGTAGATTTTTGTCTTCGTAATAACATATTTCTTGTTAAAAATATACACTTTTTTTACATATGTATTTATATCAAAAGGGATCCAAGTTAATTAATCTGATATTAAAATTAATTTTATCACGTAACGATTCACTTAATAATTTAATTTTACTGTCACACCAGACGTTAATTTTTAAATTTATCATTTTATTTTTCGATCGCTTATAAATGTCAAAAAATAAAACTAAATTAAAACTACTGTGATTAATCATTTGTCATTACGTTTTTTTTAGATTTTCACCATTATTAATAATTAATTTGGATATACATTAATGAGCAGAAGTTACCTTAAGTTTTATTCCGGAATATCCGATATTTCTTAGATTTTCTTCTTATTTGTTTCTCACTAGGTGCCACCGCACGATCTGTCCAACCGATTGATATGATCTGACTTCAGAAAACATATACACGACGCTATCTTCACGTAAATAAACTAACACGCTGATTCGGTCAATTAAATGTCAAGATTTTACGATATTTTAAGATAAATACATCAATTTTACGAATAATGACAAAAATATTTTAAAACGTTGCCCACTTTGAAACTTGAGAAAATAAAAGCACAATTTTTTATCTTATGTTCAGACTCCTTAATTGAACAACAATATAAAATATTTAAAAAATCTACAGCACACAGGATTCTTGTTCCCGTGCTCGAGATATATCGGCTACCATACATAGCCTACGCCGCCAGATCTCATTGCTACCCTCTTATATGTAAGTTAAATGCATTGTTATGATAATTACGCACCATTTCATCGCCATTTCACAACGGGTGAGAATGCGACCTCACTCATCTATATTTTATAAACAAAACTGATTATTAATTACGTCCGGAAACTCTGACTGATTTTATTTATGTAAGTTTACGTACAGAGTATGACAAATCTAAGAGTTAATTGTTCATAAAAGCGATAAGTAGGTAATAAAATTACTAACTGTTGAACGAATTTACTTCAGGGTTTTCTTTATTATGAAAAGTTTTTATTTTTACACACGAGTTTTAAATGTTAGCATTCGGCCGCCATCTTTTAGCTCGGATTTAAAAAAAAACACCAGAAATATACGCGGATTTGAAGAAAGATAAACATAGAAACAGAGAAATTAAAAAAAAGAAAGGTTGATACTTCATGTTCGCCTAATATGTTTGTATGGATATTACATAACATACAGACACTTCAATTTTATTTATTGTGAAAAATTATATTCAAATAGTTGAAGCCAAGCTAACTGAATAAATTTTTAGATCTGCTAATAAAATGTTTGTTTTCTTTGCATGTATTTTTTTGTCAGGAGCTTTTAAAACATAAGAAAATGCTATTAGTTGATTTTGTTGCATTTTTAGATGGTTTTGTAACAGATTACAAAAATACAAAAAAATCCAATATGTTCTAGTGAAGTTTAATACTTTTGATTTTTCATATTTTTTAGAAAAATTACTCAACACCTAGGCATTTATTTGTAGGTGTCATAGTCAATTATGGGTTAAAATAAAACATAGTATTGATGTCTTAATTTTAATAAAAAAATTGTAACAAACTTTCGTAAAAAAATGTTTTTTCATAAAACACAAATTGTAATGCAATAAATATGAAAATATTGTACAAATAGGAACAGTTCACAATTCGTTTTTTATTTTCTGGATCTTTTGGTCTTGCGAGCTTGGATTCCTTTTTACGTAGGACCAAAAATATTTTAAGTATGCCTCAATATCTTGACACTACTACATACCGTAACGATGACTTGTGAACTTACTAGCTTTCACCCAAGACTTCGTCCGAGTGGAATTAAAGAAAAATGAAAATCGTATAATATGTGTTTTTCCAGACTGTCCTCTACGTCTATACCAAATTTCATCGAAATCCGTTCATCTTACAAATATACATCCATCTAAACTTTCGCAATTATAATATTATAGAATGATAATTTTTTCAAGATTAATAATTTAAGGAACAAGCCTTTGCAAATTTGCTTTGTATTACGAATTTATTCTTAACTTCATACTTAGCTAAACGTTATGTTAGGAATCATATTGCCATAATATAGGTAAATACGGCTATAGTTCGTCTCCTTCAAAATAATACGTAGCTACACATATGTTCTTTATTAAATTTTCACGATGAATTCATCGTTATCAAAATTCTACGAATATTGATCCTTATGAATGATTTACGAAAAATATAACGGAGGAGTATGTCGGAGTATATGTTATTATATAACATTGTATTGGTATTTATCTCATAAATTAATCTATTATTCTTATATTTAGTCCTGACTAAAAGTAAAAATCGCCATAGATTTTTATAATCATTCTAAAATAATTATATAACTTTACACTGCATTAATCAACAAAGACTTAAAACAATTGAACTAGAAAACACTTCTTAAGATACACAAAAAGTTTTTAAGTATAGTTGTACTTTCGCAATTGACAACTGTTGGAAAAGGTATGTTTTTAACATCATTTCTCTTTCCTTCATCGAAATTTAGATAAGATACAGTATTTTTGTTCGAATTATCAGGTATTCCTGATGTTGTACAGTTACTTTTTATCCACGGCATCCAGATGTAATTAAAATTAGCAGGGTCTGCGGCGTCACTAAGGGCGGGCGGACCACGTCTCATCTGCAGCGCCCAAAGTTCTCGAAGTCTGTTGATCAGTCTCGTTGCGATACCGTTTTCTCTCTGCCATAAGTCATTTCTTTCACCTGGATCTTCTCGAACATTATAAAGGCATCCTCGAGCTAAAAAAACATACTACAGTTTTAGAAATGGAATCTTAAAATTAAATCTACGTTGCAAATTTACTTACTCAGAGTCGGTATGCACAAAGTTACATTAGTAAACGGTCCCTGTGCGTCTATTGTAGTAGCTCTTCTCATTGCTAGAAAATCTTCATTCTGTCTATATATACCCATTCTGTCAAATATTCTTGATACTACGCAAGACCTTAAACTTGGTAGATATTCTGGCTCTTTTCCTTTAATTGCCAAAAATTCTTCCCCATAGTAATCATTACTAACGCCAGTGACGTTACCAATAACAACTTTATAATCTCCAGATCTGTAAGCACCATACATATTTCTACTGCTGTCTTCGATGGCTATTAAAACCTCATTTCTTTGAGATTTGGAATTCCGAATGATAGAGTCCCATTGGTTGACACCGTCAATAGTTTTATCAAGTTTTCCTCCCGCTGCAGCCAGTAATGTGGGCAACCAATCAGTTATATGCATTAGACCGTTCCATACTGCAGGTGTGAATGATGAATGCCACATAAACGCTGGCACTCTAACTGCTCCTTCCCAGGGTGTATTTTTCTTTCCTCTAAATGGTAAATTAATGCCCCAGTTGGAAAATTCTCCAGTAGTTGGGGCGCCATTATCTGATGCGAAAATAATAATGGTGTCATCTAGCATACCATTTTCTGAAAGAGCTCTGACTACTTCACCGAAACTTTGGTCAACGTGTGATACTATTTCTGGAAATGAAATCATTCATGTTAGATTAAATTTGTAAATGTGCGGAGAGATGATGATGACATAAACAAGAAAGTATTAAGATTGAATGTCTACAAAGGTAGAGGAAGAATATGCTTAAGGGAGTGAGTTCATATATGAATGGAAAAACAGCACATAGTGTGCCGATCCTTAGTAGGGATAAGGGCAGATTGATGATGAGAATAAATATGTAATTTATGGTGGAGGTAATAGAAATTGTTTTCGCGAAGCAAAATAAAACTTAAGATTATACCTGCATACAATCGGCGATCGGAGTTAGCGATGTGTCGATGTTTGATTGAGGAATACAAGGGTGGCTGGAGAGCGCCGCCGCCATTGCCAGCGTGGGGCGCGTTGTGGGTAATGTGAAGGAATAGTGGAGTCGAAGAGTTGTGATGTCTGATCACTACAAATGTAATAAAAAGGAACCAATAAATACATTTTTAAAGTACCCATATAGCAAAAATACATCTAGGATTATACAGAGGTCTCAATAATTATCAATAAATACCATAATCAACGTAACAACTGAACTGATTTAGGAACTAACTCACCGCTAACAGCCTGATGTGTGAGTGCGTCTACGATATAACGTTGTTCTTTTTCCTGAGGTATATCGTTGAAAAATAGATCGTCGCCGAATAACAAACGTCCGTTAGGCCACTGAAATAAAGTATACAAATATAAAGGTGAAGCAAAAAATGTTGCAATTGAAATTATTATTGTTAAATAAGGCTATTTGTTTGGAATTTGCATATATGTTTTGGGTGTTACTGCAGTAATATACTTTGTATAATTGAATTGGAAGTGCGATCGCAAACAGTTATTTCATTTCCTGCAATCGCTGTTCGATATCTCGTTATCAAAACTAACATCCCCTCACGGGCACACATTGTTGCATTACATTACACAGGTAAAATATTACTTAATATTTGATATTGTAATATTTGTCTTCAATAGTTACATATTGGATAATTGTCTTCGAAATATTATTATGCATAACGTATACTTTAATTGTGCGACAAACACGAAAGTGGCAACTTGCAATACCTATAATATAACAAGTGGCCATGACCTTGTACCAATTTGGTCACAAAACTTTCATAAAACTCTTAAATATACGCTAGCAACAAGTTTCCCTTAATAAGAGTTCAACAACTCGTACGTACTTTCAATAAGGCAACAGTTTTTTATTTTAAAATTCGAATTATATACGAAAAAAAAAAAACTTGTTTTGTTTTTTAATGTATCGGACTTATTAACGGCCAGTCTTTCATCTTTTCGATTTGTATAAATTAAAAGAAGACCTGTTACTTAATATCTTACATTTAATTTAACATTTTACTTACAGTTTCGACTTTATTGTAAGTGTAATAATCAACGAATCCTCCTCTCATGCCGTAGTGGGAATCGTATCCTCTAGATGTGGGTAGATATTCTTTTTTCGACATGCCAACATGCCATTTTCCAACCAAATGCGTCGCATAGCCCAGCTCTTTCAAGTACGAGGGTAAAAGCCTCTGCGTCAACGGTATGCCTCTATCTTCTGAGTTATACAGCGGCATACCGTGCATTCCTTTAACAAGCACATGTATTTAATACATCCTATAATTCTATACTTAACACTTTATTTGAACATAGAATATAGTTTACATTGCTGATCATAATAATCTTAAAGTTAGTTGTAATGCATTGTATTTTGTATTTTTACGTAATTTTTTATGTAATGTTAAGTTATGACGTCTCCATATTTACCTAGTTTGCTAGGATACACGCCGGTAAGTAAGGCAGTACGAGCGGGTGTGCATATCGCCTCGCTATAGTAACTCTGCAACACTACGCTCTGGTAGGCCATACGGTCGAGGTTCGGCGTTAATATCTGGTTTGAGCCGTGCCACGATACGTCCCGCCATCCCTGGAAATGTTAGTCACTTTAATACCTTTTCCATGGCAATTGCAGTCTTGAAGTAATACTCTATAGTCAACCGAAAGTTGAACAAAAGCGTAAACAGTTTTATTTTTTTATTTTACGGTAAAAAAACCTGCGAATTAACCTCTGCGCATTGCCTATCTTTAGTAGACGGAGGAAATGAGAGATACACAGATAATTCCCTTCCCTGTTTGTCCTTTTCTTTGCAAAATCTAGTTCTCCTTGCCACCGTTTTCTAATAAGAAAATGATAGGTAGGAAAAGTGCACTAAAATTTCCTTCAGCTGTATTACTGACATTGAATTTTATTTTAAGGGATGGTTTCACTGAAGGAAACGTAATTAGGTAAAAAAAATATTAAACGTACCATATCGTCGACCATAAAGAACAGGATATTAGGTGATTGACGGAAGTACGGATTGCGATACGCTGCCGACATCGATACCGAGCAGATTAAAACGCACCAGCATCGCCTAAAAGTAAAATTGAAAAAAAATCAACACTAATAGAAAACAATTTCTGGATTCTATTTTCAGTTTACTATGACTTACATTTTAAAAATTGTTAAATTTAGCATTAATGTTCGGATAGCCACGACTTCGTATTATGCAAAAAGTTCACAAAACAAAAAATATCTTAATTGTACTAAGAAGCGGTCGAAATTTCTTAAAAAGCTAAGTTAGTTCGATATTTATTTTTCGTGCTTTAAATAAAACAATAAACTACCATATCACTGTAAATAAAGATGATTAACATGAATAGATTCGAAAAATAAAAACGTATTGTTTTAACAATGAGCCTTAATTAATATTTAACTATAATAAATTAATTGAGAAAATAATTTAAAATTATTTTAAAAAATCTAAACAATTTTAGATATTAAGCTAATATAATTTGTGATAGAAACATTTAAAATAAGAATATTACGTTCATAACACCTTGTGCGATAACCCCACGTGAGTTAGAAAATGTAATTTACAAATGTTAAAATAATTATTTTATTTCATTGTCTATTTTACACTAGTATCTGTAGCACGAGCATCTCGATTAATTTGTTACGACTTCATAAGTGTTATTGACCTTTATTAAATCAGTTCTGTTACTGTTGCTATTTATTCCACATTTATTAACAATGCTAATGACGTCATTAGTCAATATCTACTTTATACTTATAAATATCATACTAGTATTATAAATGCGAAAGTTTAGATGGATAGATGTTTGTTATAGTACCTTAAGGGCTTAACGGATTTCGATATAATTTGACATAGACGTAAAGGATAGTCTGGAAGAAACCATAGGCAACTCAGTTTTGTTTTTTTTTTACATTCAAGCGGACGGAGTCGCGGACGAAAGCTAGTAATAATAAACGTTAAAATAAAATATACAAACGTGTAAATATCAGAGTTATTAATATCTGACATAAAATAACATTTGCTACAAAGTTTTTACGATATTAAAAAAACTTTTCTAGTAACTAATGATGACATTATTTCATATATGCAATTAAAAGTAAGGAAAACAAAGCTTTAAAATTGCATTAGACCATGACAATGAAAAATTCAAACCTATAATTTAAGTTTTACATCCTTGTTCTCGTATTCGCCTTTAATTTAATTTGCTCAATTTTATAAAGAAAAAATTATGTAAAAAAGCTTGCAATACCGCATTTAACTAAGTAATAACCGTTTCTATATGACTAGCTGTTTCCGTACGGCTTCATCCGCATTAAATTATGATAATTTTGTTTTATTGTTTACATTTGTCTAATTATCAAAATGACATGACAAACCTTAGCAATTTTTCTTTCTTGATGTTGGCAACAACTTATGGTCTCTTTCCCAGCCTTTTTTAAGGTTTTTATCCAAAACATTTTCCCCCTAAGTTTAACAGCGTAAAAATATATAGCCTAAAGCATGACGTAAGTGTAGGGCTTTTTATTAAAAAAAAAGAATTATTCAAAAATATGCTGTAATTGCTGAAATCTTAGGCAACAAAGAAGTACGTGTTGCGTATTATTACAATAGTATAGTTATAGATTTGGGCTATTTTTTGTATTTGCTGTTTTTTATACGAAGTGTGTGCAATTTAAAAAAATATTAATACTCCAAAAAACATTAGATTATTAAGTTGAAATAAAACAGATTTTTTTACTATAATTTAAATATTTTCTATCAGGAACATGATTGTCTAGAAGGAATTTGGCCCAATTAATGATAGTCAAGAAAATCTTTTATTTACATATAACCTCTTAAAGGTAATAGGGTGGATACAGATTTATATCTCTCTTTTATTTTAATAAAAAAAAGAACAAAAATATTGCTTCCATATAAAAAAGTAAAGGAACATGTTATTATGACAACACTCTGTTCGTATCGAGGCCTAGGTCAGCTAGAGTTGACAAAAGTAATTCATTTATTGCTGCTGCTTGTTACGTTATAGAAAGTTTCGATCACATTGTATAGCTTCATACTCGTATATCTTTATTTCTATACTTATCCTAAAACGGGGGAAAATCGTATTTTTGTATGTATTGAAATAAATGCAAAGAATACTAGGCCGCTTTCAAAAATTCTTTCAACCTGAAAAAGCTACGTTATCACTGAGTAACATAGGCTATATTTTTTACTCCAAACACTTGTTGATTATACGAATACTAAATTATATCAACTTGTGTATTAAATCCTCGGAATACCAACAGTTTCCAAAGGCCAAGGACATAGATAACTAGATCTAAATATCAAGACGATTAAGACAATCTATTTGGGAATATACCTTTAAAGAGATACATTGTAGATGAAATAGTAGGTGAAGTTTTTTTATGCGAGTATTATTTGCATGCCGCGTGGCCGAATTGTCTCTGGTCAGGGTCGGCATCTAGGCGTGAATCTAACTGACTTTTGACTATGACTCCGTCCACCCTAGTTCAGTTTTTAACGAATATGTGACTACTCTTTATCCGTAAGAAAATTATTATAGGAATAATAGTTATATTCTGTGTCTTATCATTACTACTTTAAAATTATTTCCCAATACATTCCCATTTTATCCTCAATTTTTTAAATAAAATTTCGAATAAAATCTTCTTTGGTTTGTTTTTTTTACGAACATGTGACTGGTTTTTATTCTTAGAAAAGTTATAATGGGAATTATATGTTCTGTGACTTACCATTACTACTTTAAAATAATTACCAAATACGTTCCCATTTTATCTTCAAATATTTTAATGATAATTCGAATAATATCTTCTTAGGTTCTCGATACTATAAAGTGTAATATTTATTAACTGAAAATCTTTTACACAAATAATGACTGAATCGTTACATTTATGTTTGTTTTTTGTGAATAATGACTTAGTCGTAACACTGACCTCACGATTAGGGGATTTGCGGTCGAGAGGTTTTTCTATTTAATTGTCATTGTTAATATTTTTTGCTCATGCCATGTCACGGTCAACGAAAGCCGATAGCTCAGTACTTAGGTACACCACCTAGAACCCGGAGGTTCTTCGATAGAATTGCTAACCTATCGTAATCAAAATGTTCCTATGCTATTGATATTGTTACATATAGATATTAAAAAGATTAAGAAAACTATAAACCAAGTAAAATTGGTTTGATACTCAAATGACAATTTTGACATAATTCTATAAAATTCATTCCTCTGCTCCAATTTACGTGCCAAATGTACACAAAATACTCATAGTCAAAATTCCTTTCTTCTTTTAATTCTACAGCAGACAAAAAGTTTTTAAAGTCGCATTTTACAGGATTCAAGCCACGTAAACATATTTTTAAATAAATTAATTTATATTGACTGCATTCGAACCCACGACTCTTCCATGTTACTGTTATTAATTAAATTATGAATAATTTCAACATTGAACGTTGATTTTTTTTGACTTCTCTTCTCTCTTCTTCTTGGAACTGAACCCGTAACTATGCGTTCTACATAGATTATCATTTTTATTTTTATTTACAATTAGTGTTTTAATTTACTTTAATTTAAATTTAAACTGACTTTCGCAGGCGACTCCGTCCGCGTGGAAATAAATCAATCATAATCGAGTATGTGTTCTTCCACACTATCCTCTACGTCTATTTATCGAGATCCGTTTTGTCGTTTAGGCTATAAACTCTAACAAACATCCATCCATCCATCTAAATTTTCGTATTTATAATATTAGTAAGATTATCCATTGTTAAATATTAACATCTTTTCCAGCGATTTAAATAAAAACATATCATTATATATTTAAAAATTCACATTAACTCACCAATTAAAAATAGATTTCGCGAACATGATTAAATTTTTATGTCCAATTTATACATAAAAAAACACTATTAATCACGCACAGTATACACCCATAGTACTATTTCAATTTTTTTTTAATAAATGATTTAAAAAATATAGGAAACCTTATTACATCTAAGCAACACCGTCCAACCCGAGCGCTGAACTAACACAAGACGCAAAAGGCGCGAAAATGTTGTATAACTATTGGTTAATATTTCACGTATTTAATATCGACTGCTAAATAGCAGTTTGGAGGTTTCTATAGAAGAAAGAGACGGATGGATTGAATTTAACAAAATCCCATGACAATTGCCATTTTCTGATCTATTTTTTTTTATAGATGCGTAAGCCACAACAAACAGTTTTTATTAATCTGACGATTAATTAAACTCGACAATCTCTGTTTAAATCATTCCTTTTCGCGCCTACGAATATATATGACTTCAGTAAAGTCGGTAAAGGCTTTGTAGAATAGTTACTAAATTTACATTAAGTGAATCCTTTAAGTACTATTAAACGCTCTGAGTTCGGGAGATAAAGTATAACATCGTACGATTTATAAAATAATACTTGGAAAATTACACTAAAAGTTTTTTTGTACAAAAGTTTAACTTATGTTTCTTAAGTTAACAATACTAATTTCGCTTAACCAATTGGTTCTAAAATCATGCCGAAAGTACAACTTAAAGTTGATTGTGACACATTTAAAGGTCTTTTTTAAGGTAATGATCTACTTAGACACAATGACCTTGTCCGCAAACGATTTTTGATCTTTCCTTCCGCGAGTAAGAGGTCTGATTAAATGTCCCAATTGTGTTTGATTTTTACTCATTTCTCAACTACGTAATATTGTTTTCTACTTAATGTTATAAAGTCATTTTCCCCATTTTTTTAATATAACTCGACCCTAATAATAATATACTAGCGGCCAGTTTTGGCTTGGCATCGATAATTTTTTTTTGTTTTAAACGTAATCTTACTTCTTACTAATATAATAAGTGTGAAAGTTAAGATAGATGTATGGTTGTTTGTAAGATGATATCTTCGACATGGCTCAACGGATCACGATGAAATTTGTCAATGATGTAGACTAGAAGAACACATAGGGTGTTTATACTTGTTTTCTAATTCCTCGCGAACGGGGACGCGGGCAAAAGCTGATAAACTAATAAATGTATTAAATACAGCATATTATGTTATTGGGGGATAATGCAAAAATGAAAAAAGTACATTCGATCAAGTGATTTTTTTATTTTTTTCCTTGCAAGTAAACAACTACTTCCTTTTTACAATATTGTCATTTATTGTTAAATTTTATTACGTTTTTAGATTTATAACTGACGTCATGTGCTAGTGTAAATATGCCAAAAAATCACTTGTGTATACTCCAAGACAACTGTCGCCGATTCCAACTTCGTTTAATTTCTGTTTAACAATCGAACAAAAGAATTTTCACACTCAATACAAAACGTTCAAATGTTTTCCGAAAGTACTATTTCAAAACCACAAATTACATGATTATTGACATAAGTGAGACTCCCATAATGAAACAAGTTTGCAATTAAAATTCTTAAAATTTAAATTATAATAGCTTAAAAATTTGTAAAATATCTTGGGGAAAATTATAGGTATATCCCAGAATACATTTTATAGAACAGTGAAAAAAGAATTATGTATGTGAATTTTACGCCTTAAATTTTTCTAATTAATAAATTACGAAAGGAGGTTAAGGATGTACAAAAAGAGGACAGAAAATGTCATGTATTGTAATTAATACATTTTGTGTTGTACATACGCTGAATATCTTAATCATAACATCCTATTCTTCACTTTGAAATGTAACTTGCTCGATTGTCTACCACTAAAAAAGTAGAATGGGGATGTTTCCTAATTTCTGGAATAGCCTTTATTTTGTAGATAAACCATGTATGAACACGAAAAAAAATAGTATAAAATATAATACTCATTATTTCAATAAAAAAAACACGTAAATAAAAACAACTCTTTCATTTCCCCCCAAAACGTCCCATGACGTCACTTCTTTGCATACGAACCTCGCGTCACGGCCTGTCACTGTCATTTTGAAAGAACCATTGATTGATAATACTCGTAAATCTTTCTTGTCTAAAGTTGTTTTTAGTAATGGAGATAAAAATGAAAAAACCAAAATGAACAGAAGGTGATACTTTTAACGTATTAATTACACTTGTTGCTTCTCGTGGAAGATTATGTTTGTGTGTAAACAGTGACTGCGTCCTACACCAGTGTGACCAGGTATAAATTAAATTGTACTATAAGCTACTCTTATGAATTTTGATATATTTTTCTTTTGTAATATTCATAAAATGTTTTGCTCATAACTTATGTCGTAATTATAAAAACACTCAATAATGGAGTCCTCATAATATAAAACACGCAAACTCAATTATTACAATAATTTAGAAAAAAATATAACTACAAAATGCACTGACATTCACTGAAGTTGGTCACACTGCCATGTTATATGCGAAGAAGTGACGTCATTGGTGTTTGAGATCGAGTAATGGAGGGTAAAAAATATTGCAGCGTTTTTAATTTATATTTAATTTGAGACAAACATTCAAGGTCTCTAAATGTTATTATAGGTTATAAAATGCTGTCTTTAAAATATTAAACATAACTTTATTTGGATTTGTAACATTAGGAAACATCCCCATTGACAGATGTAAATTGGACACACTTGAAGGTTAACATAGTGCAAATTTTGTTTGACAGATCTACACTGAGATAAAGTTTAGTAAACATTACGACTCTGAGTGCAGCAATAAAACGTCAATAAAATAAAATCAACGTTTAAAAACTGCCTGTCGAATCCTTTATCGTGGTATCTATAAAATATACGAACCTATTCGTCGAGTTTTATCAAATGACTGATAACAAATGATTTTATATAGCAATAAAGATCAATTATTTTATGGCCTGAGCATTGTTAAAAAGATTAATATTTCGTTTGGAATTATGTTAAAAGGATATCTTGCCTGGTAACAAAGACGCTGCTATCGGCTAATGCTTTCAGAAAATATGTATAACCTAAATGAACTTATTACATGGACATAGAAAGTGGCATAAAAGGATGGCGCTAGTAAACTCATAGTTTAACTTCACTTAAGCCGACTTTGTTGGTCTTTACCATTATTATAGTTTGTCTAAATAATTTAGATTAGTTTGATAAATGAGGTATATGAAGTATCGAATTTAAAATCTATGAAAGAAAATGCCATACTTAATAGAAAGGTATCGTAGTGGCGAAACAAAAACGTATAGCGAACAATTTCGAACTATCAATATTCGGTTCAAATAATTATCGAACTCAACTAAAATAATTATTTTCTTATTAACTAATTTATAGGACAAGTCTAGTATTGATTATAGTGTAGAGAATTTAGCGATGACAGAAATAATAGAAATCCAATTCAATTACGTACGGCTGTAGTATTAACAAACATTTATTTACTCTCATTATTTGTTATGGTCATTATTAATTTGAGAAAACCGTGTTTTTTTTTCAAATTCATAAGTTATAACTATAAATCTATCGATTCCAACTTCTATAAGAATAAAAATCGAAAATCGATAAGATTCATGACTGATTTTACACAAACCATCACCACTAAATTTGAAGTGTGAACTACAAACTAATCTAAATTATTTAGACACACTATAATGTCATATTACCAAAGTTCAAATAGTAATTGAAAGATGAGTAGTAGATAGATATATGTTCGAATGCCACAAAATAAGTGGTAATTTTCGAATGATCCGTAGATAAAATAATCTCAATGATTCACAATAATAAAAAAAACATTCGATTACAAGGAGTTATACTTATTCCTTGGTAAAACAGGTCGAGATTAGACGTTAATAAAAAAGTACGTCGTTAATTTTCAAATCTATTAATGTTGTGGTTGTTATCTATTGCATACATATATCCAGTTTTACCTAATTACTTTTTATTCTTGACATCGTTATTAAATGGTTTACGGCTGATAACGCCGCTTAATATTGTTGCCAAGGTCATGTGTCCCTGAGGCTGAGGAAACGAGTTGCTTTATATTTCTTACGTCTTTGTATCAAGAAAACCGGTAATATGAGATGGCTTAAGTGATAAAAAAAAAGTTATAACGAAACACGTGATTCAAAAAATAGATAAAAAAAGATGTTAAAAATTCATGCCAAAAGATTATAAGTAACCTTTTATACCGCGGCTTTAAATTAATTCATTGTGAAGAATAGCTTAGTTTAGGTAAAAAATCGGTAAGCGTACTAGAAAAATAGCTAATATTGCTTCTAAGACATAATAGAGACTAACTTCTTTTTATATTTGTTAGCTAGCGCTTGACAACGTCCCACCTGAAGAAAGTGATGATGCAAACTCGATCAACATTCCAAAATAAAATTAACAGAGTAACCACACTTACAATTTTAACCTAAATTAAAACTACAAATCTATCATGCAGCATTAAAACAGCAACATCCCATAATTATCCATTTGTACATGACTATATGTGAGTTATCTCTGCAGTTAAGACAACAATAGAAAACCTTGTAGTTACAGCCGCGGTGTTAAAATCTTAACAAGAGGCATGCTAATGTTGACCTACATTTTGTTTTCACTGCAAAACATTGTCAGTCTTCTTTTCTAAAATTCGTGGATTTATGTCTTTATCAAGTAAGAATTTTATTCATCTGGTCTTCCTTCTTCCACCAAACATTTGACTAAAAGTATAATCGAAATAAAATAATTTTTACTGCGAACTAAATAACTAATTCGATTATTTAATAAGTAGTTGTGTGCTTTTTTATAAGATACATTTACAAAAGAATATGACTAAGTCGAGCAATTTAAAAAAATTACTCAGCAACCATAACCGTAGTTCCTGTTTTTATAATTGACTTTTGATTTCGGAATATGAAGCTGTTTTGGATTGTGAAATTCCAATGGGAAAGGTGTCAATGTATAATAGTTATGGAACTAATTCCTAAAATACTTTGCTGTAAAATAAAATAAGATTAAGCACGCTACGAGGCCGAATACGCGTATCGCACGACACACAACTCATAGACACCATGAGTTTATCAAAATTTAGGACAAATCCTTATCTTTAAAAGTATCTGTAAGACTTGTATTGTGCGTTGGTGACTTAAGAGTTATGCACTTGACTTGTAATCTGCAGGTCCAAGTTTTTCGAATTTGTACCTTGACATGGTAATATATTTGAAACTAACTTATGGGTTATGAAATGGCAAAGATGAAATATATTAAATTTAATGTAATAAATACATTTAAAGAAATCCGGGGAAAATTATCTTTATGGTAATACTATTTTAGAGATATCACCATGTCCTTCTGTCCAAGGTTAAGAAAAAAGTTAATTTTACCTTTGCCTTTGAGACAATTTCTAAAGTATTTCACACATTGCTTTGCGTTAAATCATAGCAAAGTGTGTTCTTAAAATGAAAATATAACGTTTTTGGCGTAAATTCGATTAAAGTTAGTGGCGGTGCGCCTATTAGCAACTAGATGTATCTGTAAAAGTGAGAATGATATAATATTGTTTTGCGGGAAAAAATACAAACAAGAAAAGGTAATAATTAAGGCCAAAGTCCATCGAAGCTGCGTTGACTGTATTATTATATAAAAACTATATAGATGAACTAATGAAATCTGTACAAAAAATGGACCAATAAATCTGAAAAGAAAACATACAGACGAATTGAGTACGTCCTTCTTTTGGGAAGTCGGTCAAAAAGAAAATTAAAACCATTGAAGCCCAAAGACGAGATATAAAATAAATTTGTATTTTTGTTTAAAACAAAAGAACATAATAATAGCTTTTATTTAGAATTATTAGCGCTCAAATAAATGTTTGTGTCGATACAATAAATGCGGTCAATTGGAGACAAAGTAACCTTAGGTGAAGTTATTTATTTCGTAATATTATTAAGCTAGTCCATGTAAAACTGGATGTTTTTGTTGAGACTTTCCGCATACCAACCAATGGGGATTACCCCTTAAAAAACAAGAACGCAGCAATATTTTTAAAATGTTAACATGTCAGAACCTTTTAAATATCCTGATCTGACTGAGTAAATAAAAAAATATGTTATACTCGCGCCAGCAATAACATCGACATTATCTTTTTAGCGGAGCTTTTATTTTTTTTGTTAAAATAATTAATTTCGTTAAACCAATCTTATTGGCATATACAATAATAGCTTTAATATGCACAAAAAAGCACAAAAGGTCCAAATAACTTTACGTCAATTCACTTCCGCACATTCGCTAGTTGAGTCGGTCACCGTCATATTTTAGACACGATACCTAATAACTGATCACAAAATAATTTATAATTTTTAACCAAATTGGATTACCACATCTATTATTTTAATTCAATAATTAAAAGCAGCGACTCAATTATACTATACCCCTATTACGCCCCGAGGAAGAACGAAAGTTGAATGATAGGCTCTTCTACGTCAATCCACCTTTTTAGACTACAAAAAGGCTGCAGTAGCAACAACGGTATAAACATACATTGTATACAAACAAAAATACTAGTGAAAAATTCTATGCAACGACAGACTTCGGTGGATTAAAGATATATAACCTTTAAAGTTGATCGCGTATCACCAACTCACTTTAGTCCCCACTAAGGGACTTGGAGCCTACCCTAAAGTAAAAGGTGACTAGGCCATAGTAAAATTTGATATTTTAATATTAATATGCTTTATTGTTAATGCACCTTGATAAGAAAAATAATTAAAGTTCGAAACAAGCAAGTTGAGATAAAAACGTGGGACTCGCAATCACATCACGTATCAGTCAGTTCCGTAACAACGGATTGTGCAAGGCTCACAACAAAAGATTACGTCCGCCGCTTGCATTCTCCTTCGTCGAGATTTCCGTAACCTATTGATACTTTTTGTACCACTAGAGGTTTACGAATTGCAATCTAAATTACTCTTTTAAAGGTAGTTACAAATAATATGAATCTAGAAAATTATATACATGAACTGTTGGAATGAAAATTATGTAATCGTCACAGTGAGATCTAGGATTAAATTTTAGGTTGATTGACGTCAAAACAATCTGGGGGATGATTTTTAGTTGAATTTTTTTATTAGTATTTTGGCCTGTGGGTAATATCAGACACAACGCTTCACAGCTTATAGATTTTGTGATATTCATCCTTTAGGCCTAAACTAAATTGATGACAATAATTTTAATAAACGTGACCGATAAAATTCACGCGATTGCTCTATGATCATAAAATTGCATTATTGGTAGATTAAACGCTTTACGATTATTCATGATTTTATTACTATAATACATAATACGTGTAGGCTGAGTTTCCTGCAAGTTAAATTTGATAGATAAATAGATTTTAAAATAAATTATGTATAAGACTAGAAATCTTCAGTTTTCGCTAATTGAATTTACATGAAATCATGAAAAAAACAGCAAGACATTACGTCTCCCGTTTTTTTACTGATATTTTTATAACCTTTTAAGTAATTGATGCTTACTTAAGTAGTGGATACGTCACTCACTAAGGTGTAAATCTGCTGTGTAAACTTTTTTACTAAACAAGAAAAAATGATAAAAAAAACACTCTACTAAATTATAATTACCGTACATTACAAAAACATCAACATACCGTTTTTTTACTTTTTAATGCAAATTGCCAGAGAATCGTTTGAGAGAGATTAAGAGGAAATAATTATCGTTTGATACTTGAAATAATTATTGTTCACCTTACCGTCCTGTAAAAATGTTTAAAATTTTGAAATCGATAATTTTCGTATTTTCCTTTTCTCGTTCTCTCTATATTAAAAATGAAAGTAATGGACTTCTTTTAAGGATACAATTTTTCTCGTCGTTAGAGAATCCTCTGAGAATGATGGAGAGAAGAAAAAAAATCGCTTGAGAGTTCTTGCTTTTTCTGTAAAAAAAAATTGAATTTTGAAGTCGATACCATTCGAATCGATTTGACTTTTCTCCGAATTAAAAATGAAAGTCATGGACTTAGAAGGGTCAAATATCTCTCGACGTTAGAGAATCGTCTCACAATAACTGAGAGAAGAAGAAAATCGTTTAAGAATTCTTACTTTTTCTGTAAAAAATATAGTAATTTTGAAGTTGATAACATTTTACATTATCGATTATACATTACGAAAAAAGGAAAAATTCAAACGTTTCTTTTAGAAAAAGTAAGAGCTCTCAAACGATATTTCTTTCCTTTCTATCACTCTCAAACGATTCTCTAGCGATTAACATAAAAAAGTAAAATAAACGAAGGCATGGGGGGCCAACTTCACGCTAAAAATTGAAATTGCTTTTACGGAGAAAGTAGGAAATCTCAAACGAAAGTTCCGTTCTCTCAAACCCCTTTCTAACGATTCTCAAACGATTTACTTAAAAATGTATAAAAAAATGAACATGAGGCGGCTAACTACACGGAGGTTTGAAATGGCAATGTCAATTTGCTAATAGAAATGTCAGCTGTCTGCAGCTGACAGCTGTCAGTTGTTTAGCAGACAGAGACAGAAAGATGTCAGATTCAAAGTAAATAGTGCATGTAATTATTGTTTAATTTAATTTGCCGTTACTTTAAACTAAATTTACCAGATCTGTTAATAGTATAGTATCTGCCTTTTTTTCTAAAATTAAAGCTACATCTAATTCTTTAAATAAATAAGATTTAAAATGTCGAGAGTTTTGGAAGCACTTATTAAGGCTTCGGAAAAAGCTGCTTGCATTGCCCGATCCTGTACTGAATCTACTGGGGATACATTACTGGTCGCAGAAAAAGGCGAAAATGATGCTAACGTCCGCTTTGAACGAGATTTTAAAACAATTGCAGATGTCTTGGCCCAGGAATGTGCTAAAGTTGAAATAGCCTCATATTTACCTGGGCTTGGGGAATATGTAAGAGGTGAAGAATGTAATGAAATTAATGGAGTTACTATCAGTATTCAGGAGTCCGAAGAAGAGACGGCCAAGTTACTGAGTTCTTTAATACCAATGTCAACTGCAAAACGAATGTCCAAAGCTGTTCATGATGAAATTAACTACACTGTATGTAACGATTTACCTGAAATACCTACATTAGATACAGATAGTTTAGGAGTATGGATTGATCCAATAGGTAAGTAACCTTATCTACAACACAGCAAAGCTTTACTGTTGCAATTTCTATAATTGTTTTTATTTATTATTAGATGCTACAGCTGA